TGTTGGTATATACTTGCATCTAATCTCTAGAATATTTGTTTAAAATGAAGGAATAACAATTGTAAGCTGAACATATGATCTAAAATGATAATAACATATCTATGTATACTTGATGGACAATCTGTGATTTTATATATAATTGAAAGCGGTGATGCACAAATGCTTGTAACCAAACAACATGCTATATGTATATGTAATTAATGATGGTTTTATGTTTCATGTTTTGTTTGTCTTTGTTGGTCTAAAAATAAAAAACTTTTATACAAAAAAAAAATCCTCAGTAGGCTGAAAATGGACTAAGGAAGTTCTTTATGTCACCCCCAAGAGGAATTTTAGGCCATTCCAATCATATAATATTTTAATGATGTTTGCTAAAGTTGCCTCCATTTTAAAAAGTACATACTGTACATAGTCATTTGCATAAAGTAATTATTGTGTTTTCTCAAGAGAACTAAGCAGCACCTATTAAACAAACAAACAAAAGTCCAGGAAAAACCTAGCAGAGGAAAAGAAAAAATGTAATTTTTAAAAAAACTGCCAGGATTCAAACCAACAACACATAGTAGCCGCTGTTTTTCATTGCTGCTAGTAAAAAGTTAATACAAGCTATAATTAGAGAATGCAAAGTAAGCAGTGATTCAGAAGGGTTTTCTTTCTTTACAAAGCAGCCAAAGAATTGCTGAAGTTAGCTTGTCACAAAGAGAAACATACAATGTCAAATGTGCTAAAATATAAGAATATTCAAAGTTGATGAAACATGGAAATCATACATTAGAAATGGAGCATGAAAATTTTGTCCTGAGGATGGCAATGAGTGGGGAGAATAACAGAAAGTGACACCATCCATTTCTGCTCTCCAGAAACAGTTGCCTAACCATTTGTGGCAACGGGGCAACCAGGAATTGTGGATACTCTTACGTTCTGGGAAGAGCTAAAGTCTCCAAATAATTATATGCATCAAATTGCCCATCCTGAGGTGGAGTCTTGTGTAGCAATACAAAATGGAGAATGTCACCAACATTCATCTTTGTTTCTATTAATTTAACCAGAAATGGCAAACTCATTAATACATATTTAAAAGCTTGAAAGATTTCGCATTTTTGGTCTAAAATCTAAATATTTTAAAACCTTTTTTTTTTTTTGGTAGCCACCACTATCTCCTGAGAGAGAGAGGGAGGCAGGGAAGCGGAGGAGGTGGAGAGAGAGAACGCACTAACAAGTCTCTTGGAACCTAACCATTTAAACCATTTAACCATTTAAAAAAACAAACGCTAGTTGTTCCATGAGGATTTTCTTCAAGAAGTTGTGAAAATTACATCATCTTCTCAGCCCGAGGGGAGATAATGGTGAAAGAAGGAAAGGTAGAGAACTTCATAACACAGTATAAGAAATCAGGAAGCAAAGACATCTAAAGCAATATCACAAGAACTGATAAAGGAGATTCATACTCTCTGCTCAGGTATGATGGGATCATGATCCATGCCACAATTAGTCAATAGGAG